GTATTTCTGTTAGATATAGATGTATGATTAAAAATTAAATACCACAATACGATAAAGAACAACAACGATAAGTTACGTTCCTAAGACAATCGTAAGTGACGTTTGGCATACATTAGAAATCCTCATTATAATAAAATGATATTATTTGGTTGGCTGAACACATATAAATGAGGAAAGAGGAGGAAGGGCCTTTTGATCCACTACCATATCAACTCCTACCTTCAAAATTATTTAAACAGGATATAAAGATAAAGGAAAACTTCAAACACACACATTTTTGAGGTATTTAGGTAAATACCTATGTTGAATGTTGTACCCACAGCAATAAAGCTATCAGCGGCATTTTGGCAACCATCTGCCGAAACCTTGGGTACCGATACCAACCGCCAGATAAAGTAATCCTAAGGTTCAGGGTCGCGCTGCGGGGGCAACCACTTTGTAACGCAATCATCCTGCGTAAATGTTCTCTTGTTCGTAACATATGGACTCTTTATAACAAGTTTTGGTATAAAAAGTGAGGTTTTTATTACACATCACAGCATACATTGAATATCGTCACATGTTCAACATTTAGGCATGTGCTTGCCATGAATTACTCAGATAATTTAAAATAGTTTTCGTTTGACTATTGCATGGTATGTTATCGGGGATGTAATTTATATGTCTAATTAAAATTAATAGCTTTATGTAATATGATGACTGTAAATTTTGTATAGTGTTGTTGCTGTTAAATATTAATATCTATTTAATAAAAATATTTGATCGTTTATATTAATCAATCCTGACGAAAATTTCTAGGTGTTACATATCTTTTTTTGCTTATCTACTTAATTCAAATTCAGCATTGAATAAAAGAAAGACCGCAACATCGCGTTTCCTTTTTTCTTGTTTTCTTGAGGGATATACTCTTCCCTCACAGACATATCTCATCCAGGCACAAAGAAACCATAACGATCTACGAAATATTATAAAGGTTTTTTTGTTCTGTCCATTGGACTAATATTACTAGCGTACTAAGTATATTATAACTCAATAGTTCTGTCACATAGTCCTGTAGGCTGCGTATTAATTAAGAAACTTATTTGAGCCTATGAATAAAAAACTACTATTTTTAACATTATTTTCCCCCAAGTACGTTATCATTATACAATATCTTCGTTTACCTCTACTAACAAAAACGACCCTGAAATTAATTAAACCGAGAAAAGCTTAATTTAATTTTTGTTAGAATTGTTACACACGGCATTGTTAGAATGTGAGGCCCACCATATTCTCGGGCGTAAGTATATTGACGCCAGCCCTTGTGATTGCTAGGCCAATTATCAGTGATATAAAGGTGCTGATAAGGTATACGATCAAAAGCTTGGAACGCGAATCTAATCACATACGATACGCGCGATTGCGGCTCTTTATAGTTTCCGGTTTTGAATTTGTAGATTCCTTGTAAAAAAAGTTGAATTACATACCATTATGAAAAGAAATAAGTATTAACTAAGGTTCTTCTAACATTGCCTCACATCCATGTACACGTTTCGTGAGAGTACAACACGTGGGCGTGGTAGAAATTCTAAAAGTAGTAATTGACAGAATTTCAAAAAGTATAAGTTTTGGGTTTTTTTAAACATGCCATATAAAGTAAAATAACAATTGTTGTATTGAAATATTCTAATAATATAATTTACTTTTATATTGCATGCTTCCAGTTACACGATATTATAAATACCTACATCGCGGATTAGACGAATTTCTAGTGCAATGAAATACATGACTTCATATGTTCTTACTTTACTTTAAACTGTTTCTCAAAAATAAAATAAAAATTTTTGTTTAAAAATGCTTATGAATTGTATTTGTTTTTTACACTTTCAACCCTTAGTAACATAACCATGTTATTATAAATACCAAATAAAATATATAAGTAGGGTATCTTTTATCAAGAAAAAGTACTGTTAGCAAGGATTGGCAAATAAGTTTACGGACACAAAGTAAATACATATATGTATATTAATCATAAGGACCACCTAAAAGCCAATAATTATGTTCGAAAACGTTTATTTTATCATTAAAACATGTAAAACAACCGACTACAAAAATGAAAAAGTTGGAATGCATTTAATAATAATAATTTAGTAAGATACGACGATTGTCTTCACGACTCAATAATAAAGAAATCCTTTTAAAATTATCTTATCAAGAATAATGTAAGGATGACTTTCCCAAAAATAATCAGCTGAGCGCTTGTAATTATACTCACAGCAACCCATTGATCACTAAGCAACCGATGTAAATCACACTAAGGATTTATGAAACACATATTATATTGTTCTTAGTCGTACTAAACTGTAAGTTAGGTATCTTAAAACTACATTAACAAAAAACGCAAAGAAGTATTTTAAAATAAGTAGTAATTGTTTGTGATCAATATCAACTGATAACGAATCTTAAAATCTGTCAACATTCTATAAGCTATACATAAACTAGTCTTCTAGTAACTACATAATTATCGTCACTCTATCTCTTCGGGATCTTAAATCTTTTTCGGGATAAAAAGAATCCTATGTGCTAGATTATATTATTACAATCTATATCTATGCCAAATTTCAATCATATCCATTTAGCAGGTGTGGCGTGAGTGAGAAACAAATATTCTTCCAAATTTTCGAATTTATAATAGAGGTAAGATAGAAAAATATAAATTAAGTTCCCACGATAGTGTTAGCGCGGCATTGAAACAGTAGTTTCGACTAGTTTCTAACATTTTTTTTAAATATTTACATTTTAATAACAAATATTGTTTTTTTATACCATGTGATCGGATTATCCGATTTCTGTTTATGGGACGTGATTATGACTGCCATACCAGTTTTTAATTGATATTTCATTCTCAGACTTCTTCAGTTGCTGTTCCAACACTGTTTTGTTTTTAGACCTGTCAAAAACCTATAACAAGTAAAAGTTTATGATTAAATTAAATTCGAATTCAATACAGAAATACTTGCAAATAACAGATAAAATAAAAGTTTGTTGTATTATAAAATAGATGTTAAATGCTTAGAAATATTTTTTAAATTAAGTTCTGAAACCTGAATTTAGTTTTCGATCTCAGCTGAGAGAATTGTTAGTTTTTATCAGTTGAAGCCCAATGGTGATATGCACGCATTCGATGTGGCCGCTTTAAACTTCTAACTTGTCACAACGGTCTTGTGCCTGGAGTGACGTCAGAAGCTCGCAGTCTGTCTGATCTCCGAAAAGATAAAAACTGTTTTTTGACATCTATATTCCTGTAACATTGAAATTCCGTACATCCATTTGCGTACAGTTGCCCAAGCTATCAAGGTTTCGTTTCGTTTTTATGGCGCTACGGCTATGGAATATGTCAATGGGGCCCGTGTCTTAATCACCATAACTATCAAGGTTAAACCACTTCTATATGAAGAATTTATAACTACTCGTTTCCGGCCAACGGGTAAGTAATATATATTATTCTAATACTTCGAGATTATCAGTATACATTCCTACTTTGCAATGATAAAACAGTAATTTTTAGAATCATTATAAGAAGTACTTTTGGTGAGGCCTGTTGTCTTCAAATTTTCAAATCGTTCGACTATCATTATTATAGAAACATACTAACTCTCTTTGTCATGCAAATTGGACATATTTCGTGTAGAAAGAAATAAAACAATCATAAAAAGAAGTATAATTATGCCGATATTATCGAAGTTTTGAACGCGTAGCAACAAAAATTTGTACCTCAAAACGAAAAGCCTGTGCCTTCTTTATTGCTAGCATTTATTTATATATACTTAATGATCGGAAAATATGTGTGTATCTATCAATTATTCCTGGTTGGTAATAAAAGTGATGGTGATGATCGACGGTTGGTGAGTGTGGGCGGGCGCGACTCGCGGGCTTCGGTGCAAAAGCGCCGTTGCAAAGCAATACATTCAACAGCTCAGTATTGCCATCTCCTTTACGAATAACTCCGAGTTCAAACTCACCAACCGTTATAGTTCAAATCTCAAAGCTTAACTGAAACTTTTGAGTTTACTTTAGAGTCATGCAAAAGACCATTTGGTCCTTTGAATACAATTACACCAAGTAATGTAGTAATAATAAAGATATATAATAATAATGAGGTACTCTGATACTACGTCATTATAAAGTGATTTATTTCAACGACATTTTTCAATTTATCTAGATTTTTGTTCTATATTATCATGACTTGGTTTACATGTCTTTAATAATTATTACTTATTTAAAATTTCTTCCTGCTTCAAGATATTTATATAACCAAAACATTGAATAAGTCAATGGCAATACGTGTCTAAAAATAATAAAATGAAGTATGGCATGACTGATACCTGCGCTTTGTATGTAAAAGTGTGAAGTTATATATATTATAATAATATAATATATATAACTTCACACATCTCATACACGGCAGTCTTATCCCAAACTAGGCAGAGCCTGTACTATGGTAACCAGACTACTGATAAACATACATACATATTATTGATACTAGCCCACCCAGATAACAACCCAGCCACAGAACATAATATGACCGTACCCAATACAAAATATTTTTCTGGGTGGGGTTCGAACCCACCACCACAACGACGACGACTAGACCAATAGGCCCGTCATGTTCAATACTACAGCATCTACAGAAATATTTATATTATATATATGTATACGTATGTATGTTTTTTGTACTTTCGTGTACCTGTATATGTATATGTACACGAAAGTACAAAATACTAATTAATTCTTCCTTTGTGATATCCACCAGATTGCGTGTCCGAACACATTGTCGTGTCAGAAAATCTTAAGACAAATTGGCCGCACATCACGCTATGAAAAGCGAGAAATAAACGAAACGTTAAATGGGCAGGTACTTATTAATCGGTCAATCATCGGAGACAAACGTTTGGGCTCGTCCGCGATTCCCACGGGGCGGGTGCCAGTGCCGGCATCCATTCCGGTTTGTGCCAACTTAAATGTTTGTTGTCAAATTAATCCTTAGTCACTTAGTATGCGCCTCTCGACCAGTCGAGCAACTATTCATTCATAGCGGTTGGAATGCTAGATCGCTCGTGGCTTGCCTCGACCGACCTTCGCCGCCGGCCGCTCGGCAAAAAGTGTGTGATCCAGCGTTATCCGCCGCCAACTATGTGGATGTACCAGTATCCAGTGCCTTACCTGCGCCATGCCATAACGTACCTCCCATAGGACGTTACTCTCCCGTTAACTCGCGTCTCGCCCGCGCCCCCCGCCGCTCAAACAAAGAACTTTATGCCTACCTAATCGAACGAGCCGTTGACTTCTATAAAAAAATTAAAATAAATTGATATACCCTGTAAAATAACTTTATTCAATGTTAAACTGTTGTAATTAGATCAAATAACTATGCTAATAAATAAATATTGCTACAGTTCCGCAACATAAATTGCTTGAAACTAAACTTTAATTCACTAAATAAATTCATTCAAATCATGTAATTATTCCAAATCTCGCGATCCGCTCGAACATCGAAGTGTTCTGCCAGTCCCGGACCGATATGTTCTGAAATGTTCCACTCTGTGACTTTATTGTTAAAAAAAAAGTTATTTCGTGTCGAAATATTGTGTAGTAATCAAACATTTATCATTGGAATGAAACAAGTAAACCTAGTGCTTAAGGCGTTCGCCTTGCGAATAAGAGGTCGTGAGTGCAAATCCTGACCAGTACACTACCGACGTGAACCCACTCCTAACACAAGCAATTTAGCTTAGCGGGAGGGGTTAACGGGAATATTAGTAATTTCGGTTGTTAGTAGATTAGCTCATGACGAGGTACGCAAATTGATAGTAGGTATAACCTTTCATAAATATTTTAAAGAACATCAAACTAACACATCATTCCTGAAGGCGCAAGGTAGTTTGAAAGTATTACATCTACTCTCATTAAAATTTGCATTAACATTATTACAAAACACACCAAATTTAAGGAACCTAGCATGTGAATGTAAGAAACATCAATAATTACATCAATCCCATTTTCAGTTTTGAATTTAAAGATGATCCCAATGAACCGTTCTCAGAACCAAGTGGAGATTTACGAGCAGATTAAATTGTTCACAAGTTTATAACATAACGACAATTCGCTTCAATGAATGATTGTCATTTGTTAAGGATGCGGACGGAACTGTGACATCATGCGGCAGTCAAGGCTGCCGCTTCCCTAGGACCACCGTCTGAAACGGTTACTAAGATAAGACGTATACTTCCGAACTGCCATCATTAGTACATATATGATATGTATAAAAACCTTTGTTGCTGGTTTTCAACCGACATTTTAACAAACCGCTTTGTTAAAATTTTATAACAGCTGGTTAGTCGAATAGCGATAATGATGATTTTGACTTTGTTTAAGTGAATTTAAAATATTATGCAAGAAGAACTTATTAAAAATAAATATTAAGGAACTGTACTCTATGGGTTCTTTAAAACCTTTACAAAACAATATATCTTAAACACATGCACACCAAAAAAATAAGTTAAATGAGTTTGCCTTTATGCTAGTGCATCATTGTATATGTTGTTCCAAGAATTATTTATTTCATAGAATTGTTATATGAATTCTTATAGGTCATTGCCATTAGCATTTTTATTGTTGGATTGAAGTTATTTCCAAGTATAAGTATAAGTCGTCCAATATAATTTTTACATGAATTAGTAATAACTATGAAGTACATATTCATATCTTAAAACACAATAAATAATTTGAATAAAAACACAATACGTTAGTACTTAGTACTAAACAGTGAGTACTTATTTTAGCGAGTTCGTTTTGCCAGTCTGTCAGCGCGCAGTGCGGCAGTGCGGCGCGGGGGCCTCGTAGCTGAAACCCATCAGCACCTCCGCGATGACGTCACTCCGGACGCCGCCGTCCGCGCCGATCAAGGACAGTAAACATTACCAGGTCAATGCACGCCGCTGTCTCTAGTCACTTTTTTATTTGGCCATGACTGCCCTACCAACAGCCGTGAAGAATCGTTCCGAAAGAGGCCCACTAATGTATAACGATTACAGTATCTAGGTACCACAATAGACTATAAATTAGACTTGCAACGAATAGTATATTCGGCAGTATACCGAATACCGAATATTCGGCGAGGCCCCTGACCGAATAGCCGAATATTAGGCAAAAGTATTCGGCTGGATTTTAGCGCCAAAAACTTGTACAGACGTGAATTAAATTATGTACCTGTTTTATGCACCAATGACTACTTAATAAATGATTATAAAAGCAATGAGAACCTTACCCTTCTAAATTTTGATTACCACAATAATTCAAATACATAGAATCCTCCATTTTTCCTATTCAGAAGATGATTATGTACCTGTGTTATGCACCAATGACTACTTAAATGATTATAACAGAAATGAAAATATGAATATATACGTAATCAATCGATTTTAATTTTTCATTTTACCAATTATTTCTCAATGACAAAATATATTATTTAAGTATTCGGTATTCGGCCGAATAATATGTAGATATTCGGTATTCGGCCGAATATAATAAAAGTAGCCGAATAGGCCGAATACCGAATAGTAACCGAATATTCGTTGCAAGTCTACTATAAATGCATTCTTCACCTGGAAGTGTAGAACGATACTCATTTACTAGAACGTTTTCTGACTATGCGCTGGCATACGGTCTCACAGATAAATAGTATGTATTTATAAAAACATCTATTGATAATTGCTATAGTTTTACTTGGTAGGAATAGTTTTTCGATTAATTACTGGTAATTAACGAAACGCTCCTTAAAGTAAAGTAAAATATAATAAAAAAGCAGTTATGTATTATCGTCGTAGAAACCGCCGAGTTCACATGGGAAAATAAATTAATCGCTACGCAGCGGCAGGCTTGCGGTCTGTAGCCGTCTCTACTCGTTCGAAATGGAAAATTGAAACGTACAAAACATTGTGTGACGCAAGTTGTAAATTAGAGAGTAACCTTTAAGATCTTAGTTATATTCTTTAGAACTAATGAGCACCTGTGTTCGCGTGTCTTTCTGCTAAACCAGTCACTACATATGTACTACATATGGAGACTCAATAAGTTGAAACTCGGAATCAATGAAACGAAACGACAACTTCGACGTTGGCTAAGCGGTTGACGATGTAAATGTAAGGTTACGTGTGTTCTTCACGTAACTTTAACTCTGTTCTTGAGTTATTTGGTATTAGTAACATAATTTAATAATATAGTACACAGTCTGTTTTGAAATGTTGAAACAACTCCAGAAACTATGTTCTGTAAGTTTAAAAACCAACTGAATATAATTGCACCGAAATACCGTTTGTACTCTGAGTTGAATGGTTATATAAGTCCATGTAAATGAATACCTAATAAATGAATAAGTTAATACTTTAGTATGTATATGCTATGTATGTATATGTATTATAATACGTTTAAAGATGTTGTGTTTCTTGTATTAAATCTAGTCTAATGTTGAAATGTCTTTAGAACTATATAATTATTAATAAAATATAGAAATTGCCCTGTAGCAACTTATACGGATCTAGAAAACAAATATTTTTCCATTTGCTCTCAAGTTCTTAAATGCTCAATCAGCAAATTGAAAAGCCTCGATCACATTGTTTTAGTTCCTGGTTACTGGTCACTGTGTGACAAAATCTTCCATTTTAAACCGATTCAATCAGAAGCATTTATCTCCCTTTCATTTCAATTTTTGTGACTTTACTTTCATAGCGTTTTATGATATGTATACTTGCGTCTCATAAATGAAAACAAAGCAAGACCAAACCTGATATTGCTTACGGAAGAACAGGATAAGAAGTTTCTAATCCAAACTTACTTATAATATCAATGTGACAGTAAGTTTGTTTGTTTGTTACCTTTTCACACCTATACCGATTGTAAAAATTCTTATACCAATGAAAAGCTACAATATCAGCAAGTAACATGAGTTACCTTTTTACCGCGATAACTGACATACAAAGCCTAGTAGACCTAAAAACGAAGCAAATAATTTGAATGAATTGAACAAAAACTCTTTTGATTACTTATACACACTCGTAAATGCATCGTTTTGATTTGAAAAACTTTTGTCATCTTGACGATGATGATCGGATGTTTGAGGTCCAAGAACCTGCGTCATCAACTTTCAGTGTAACGGTGAACGGTGAACAGTGTAACGCATTTTCTGTCCCCTCTTCTTACGCAACATCCGAACACCTTCCTGTCAATTATGTACAGTAACGATTACGATTTTATTCTAATGTTTCAGTTAAAAAAAGTTATTTCACACGAATAACTTCGCTCTACTCAAGTTTTTGTACTGAACTTTTTTTGGGTAAACAACAACTAAAAATAGATATCCAGGTAAATTATGTAATAAAATAAATTATGCGGTTGAAACCGAGAGTTTATTGTATTTTTATTTTTAGCCTTTATTGTCCCACAGCAGGGCAAAGGCCTTCCTCACTCCCTTCCACATCTTTCTGTCGTGTGCTATCGTCCCGCCATCGGCGCCTGGGCCTACCACGTTGTCGTTTAGCGCCTTGTGGGGCCCAAGCAGTGCTAATTTTTGCCCATAGATCCGTCGGCATGCGGCAAACGTGTCCGCAAAATCGGAGGTTCGTTAACCTCTTTTCGCCGACGTCTATGCCTCTATCTGCCCATCCTTCAGATAAGCTTCTAAAAACTTCTTCTAGGGTGGCAGTAGAAAGTGGTGGTTGGTATTAGCGGGTCTCCCTGTTTGACTCCTACTTGGATGGGAAGACTGGCCCTTTAGTATGGATCTTAATTGATGCAGTGCTATTGCTGTAGAACCAATTAAGTAATTAATAAAAATACAATCATGTGATGATGTGTTGGCTTTGGGGTAAACCTAAACTTGATAGTAGTCACGTTCAAACTGAGTGCACTGAGGGTTCTTGATGTGTGCAAGTATGTGATGTTTATAAACTTTCTTAGTAGCGCTTTCCAAATAAGAGTATAATAGCGTCTTCCAGCGCTACAGTTTGAGTGCACAGTGCTTATGTTTTAACATTCAATTGACGTATTTTAAATCCAAATACTCGTAGTACGTTTTTATCATCTTTTCTTTTTTACCAACCCGTCTGGTCAGCGTGGTATAGTAGGCCAAAACCTTCTTTCTAAGGAGAGGCCTATGTCCAGCAGTGGACTATTAAAGGCTGTTGATGTGATGATGATGTGAAGAATAAAGTTGTTTAAATAAAAAAACATGTATTTTGTTTTGATTCGTATGAACCAATATTTCAATAATAATAAAAAAATACTTTTGTTTTTTCATTACTGTAAAAGTTTTATTTTACTGGGAGTATTTTATGAGTTTTTTTTATAATTACACGTCAAACGGTTAGTATTTATCTATACTCAGTCGGTCTATACTCAGTTAGTATTTATCCTAATAAAAAATCGACCTACCTGAAAATGCATGATTGCCTCTATCAAATTTGTTGCACTAATCCCCACCAACAAAAACTAATATATCTTTACAATTTGGATAAATTGTAGCAGATTTTCACTACTGACTATTAATGTCCAGTCAAAGGCACTGCATTTTTTCGTCAGTACTGTGTTATTCCCTATTTGCTTGTCAGTGTAATGCCTTTATCGTTTTTAGTCAGCGTAGTGGTCCTTCTTACATTCCTTTGTAACTTTATAACTCTTTCCGCTTTGTAACTCAAAATTCTACTTAAATTAACTATGCACGATTGATAGTTTTAGTGAGTTCAAAAATGTGTCTATAGATACGCTAATCGTGAGATATATATGATGCTTATGTAGACTTGTTTGCCAACTAAGTGATTTATAAAAAACTTAACCGAATATGTACTCAAATGACTTAAGTTTCTTTGATGTTCGAAGTAATCCAATAATTCAATAGTCTTGTATTTAATAAAACCTTAATTTATCTTCAAATAAGGATTCCGTTAGTTAATTGTGAGTTTTTATTGATATGAATTCGGATTGCTTTATACTTCTAGTTTTAGATAATTATGTTTTTTTTTTGCTTTTTATTTTACTTTAGCCTCTCTGATTTGATTTAACAATTTTTCCCCTCACTCAATTTAAAGAAACTACATTCGTGGGGTTGAGGGGCTCGTGGCTTAGTGCTAATCGAGTAAGTTAACACATTGCAAAGTTAAGCAATCAAAGCCAGATCAGTCTATAGATGGGTGACCATTCTTAACACATTGAGACCCCTCCGTGCCTCCGCGAGCACGTTAAGCCGTCGCTCCCGGTTGCCAGACGAACCACCATCTGTAGCAATCGTTACGGGTATTTGGAGCCCTAAAAAGTCCGACAACAGTCTTTCTACAGAACTTCGATATCAACTAGTACCTGGGTTGTGAAGGTCTGGTGGCAGTTGCTTCACATAAAAAATGTTTACCCATTAAACAGTTTCAAAGTATGAAAAAAAAAACACGAAAGCGAAGCCGCGGGCAAAGTAGGCTAGTAATTTTATTTGGTCCAAAGTCTAAGTTATATATTGATACTTTTTATGTTTTTTTTGGAAATTGAAATTAATGAAGATAAATAACTAAGCGACCGTAATGTTGTAATTCCAAATACATAAATAAATATCGAAGCAACTACAAAGTACCTCTTAATAAAATAATTTGATTGAATTAAAATAGATTCTGATGGATTATAATTTAAGTATAAAGAAAAAACCTGAAGAATCGTATTATCTAAATACAACAAGAAATACAACACTTAACCTAAACACGTGCGCAAGACATGCTTCCTATAAAACGAGCTACCAGACTCAGACCGCCTTTAGGAAATAACATGGTCCGGGTCCTACTCCGAGGAGGACCCGGACCATGTTATTACAGGTCCCCCCCCCCCGACCGACGCCGCGGCCAATGAAGCCCTATCCCGGGGAAGCTGCGGGCTTTCTCCG